TTTACATATATTTAATTAATTACCACAAAACACGAATCGGAAACTTATCTGTTAAGAGGAGGAAATTCTATAATTCCTCGTCGCTCCATGATAGAATTTTCATGACGTGGTTTGTTACACTAGACCTATATCGTTGGTTTCTAGTGTCAAAAATGCAATGCTTTTCCTCTATTTGTGTGGTTTCCTTTCCCCTTTGTCTTCTACTTTCAAAGACATTTTAAATCAAATAGTTATCTAATCAATATTGGAAACGTAGGACGATTGCTTTCTTGACATAATATGATTTCAAATAATTCTACAGCAGCCTAAATTTGGCAAGGAGAGAAAAGGTGATACCGTATAGTAATACCGAAAATCTGGTTGGGACTAAAGCTGCGATGTAAAAAAAAATATGTGGCTGGACTGTACCATTTATCATGTATTTGTTAATGTCCTGGCTTTTATGGTGACACCCCATGTAACAAAATACATAAAAAACATTAAAAAAAATACATATCAAATTTGCAAAACCGTGAGAAATGATGTGAAATGCTTAATACTTGTCAATGTATGTGTTACAATTTACAAACCTTAAGGCCAGACTAATTTGCATACATGTACATGTAAATACATACTGCAGAATGGAAATGTACATGTATGTTACCATCCTATATCTCCTTGAAAACGGTGGCCCCTAAAATAATTTCTTTGTAGTCTCAAAAATTACTCAACCCCCTGAGGGATGTAAACAGGGCCAGGACGCTATCCTCCTTAGTTTCGTGCAATTGTGTGCCACTGGAATGGCTGTTCTCAAGATTGAAAGTCTTGAACACCCTATTGCTAATTCTAGCATAAATGGTTGGATAAATCTACCGGGAGGATGGCAGGGTTTCATTTCATTTCATTTATTTAACCAGAGTAGTACACTCAGGTCTACTGACCTGGTTTTCAGGTATCCCTGGGGTTACATATATAAAATACACAACACAATATACATAGGAAAACACACAATAAGAATATACATTACAATTTCAACTCAACATACATAACATAAAACTTCACAATAAAAAATTCGCTCCATGTCTGTAGGAATATTTACAACAACTGTATGAATCATACCAGTATGTTTTGTTACTTAAGTGCTCATGCCGCCAAAATACGACATCATCTGATTGTAGTTGACATAACTAATATTACATGGCTAACAGACACGTTTAAGTACACAAGATTCTGCTGTTAAATTTGAAATTTCTATTTCTCACCTCTGAAAGGGGTCAGTGCTGGCCAGCCCCTGCAGCTTTTTGCATATCTACGTTTTATTTTTGCATTTCTGTGTTGCCGTGGCTGACATCACCCTACCACGGAAAAGGCACAAAAATACATGAATTAAACGTTATTATTAGAGATGCAAAAATTTGCCGAGATGAGAGATTGGGGGCCTCCAAAAATGCACTTTTGAAAGGCCGTACAAACTTAGTTACTCAGTCATCGCGATTATAAACACTTTTTTAAACTTAAAAAGCTGCTACATGTACATGGCATGTATAGGTTTGATATTCTTGTGTCTTTTATTTACTTTTTCCGTATCATGTGGTCAAGAAAGGAAATTTATACAATGGAAAGAGAGGGTTAAATGTCTAAAGATAAACATACAGCCACAATACTCCCTGGTTAAATGACGATATGTTGTAAAGGACTTGTAACTGTAACTAAATTAGACTATAAAACAAAAATGGAATGATACATAATAGCTCGTACTTAACAAGGCAATACTGGTGGTGTCAATACATTTGTGAAAAATTGTGATAAAATACTATAATAATTCATGTTTGTGGAAGTAAGATATGGCAAGATATGTTTGCATAACGTCAATGCACATCTTATGTCAGAATGATATTGCTAATTCATTGCTAAATGTGAAAGAGAGCGTTCTGAAAATTCACTTCACATTCGTGTCATGTTTACGATGGACAACATCATGTATATGTATACAGCATTTGTGAACAACTAGAAATATGTGATTTGTACCTCAAGCTTCGTAGCCTGATTAAGTTGGTCGTTAGTAGAAATGAGGTACATGTACAGTGTACTTCATCTGAAAGTACCGATGTACCGGTGTTACACATTCAGTAATCCTGAATGTGTAACACGTGGTTGTAGCCAGAAACTGTCTTTGTCTATTGAGGGTTAACACAAAGGTCATGGAATACATTGTCAGAGAAATGATTAAGATAGATAATTCAAGTGTTCTAGGCCTTTGAAAATCTAGTAGTCAGCAGAAGTTGTATCTTACATGAGTTGAATACAGCTACATTTACATCAAGTCAGTAAAAAAGCGAGAGAGAGAGAGAGAGAGAGAGAAAGAGAGAGAGAGAGAGAGCATCCTGACTAACAATCTGACATTTAAAGGACAGTTTTGCATCGAGTATGTACCATGCCCACCACTTGAAAATGCATATATTATGTATGACAAATCTCTATAATGCAGTATTCCTCGAGCTCTGAGTGCAAGTTGGATCCAAATATGCGACAACAACTGGGATTCGAACCAGGGACCTTCTGTCCTTCTGATCTGGAAGTATGCTGTATGGTCACACATGAACTATCTACAGGACAACGCCCTATAGGGTGCTCTGTCAACAGTTTACAAGTTGTGATTCCCAAGTTAACCCTAACCATGTATAGTGCATTATATCCACTGGAGTAGAATATGTCTAAATGCTAAAACCCGTATACGAGCATGTACACACATAGAAGGGTCATAGAAGTTATGGATTGGCTACTCTCTCTTGCAGCCAAGGGCTGACATGTAAGGAGCTGACCTTGTACATTTGTCGGGGCTGAATCACAAGGGTCTGGAGCGGTCTGGAGTGACCTCAATAAGACCCCAGATGCCACTGTATATGTTTGTACAAAACCTATTCCCCTAGTTTATGCACTTTTAAGTACTGTACAAAAAATCATATTCCTAATGCGACTAAAAAACCATCCATCGAAAAACAGATCTGTACGTTTATTTCTACAATAACTGAAAAGCGAGGAGAAGTTGAATTTATATAACGATACTTTTGTATCTGTTAACCGTGTCCATTCATCTTGTTTTGTTGTGACCTGTGCTTAGCCAAGTGTGGCAGAAATGTGCAATAAAGGTCTTCATTCATTCATAAGACTGTCGCGGGCTTGAACCACTCACTCCCTGCTGTAAGTGGAGCTCTTCTCAAACCACGGAGCTATTACTCAAATAATAGCTCCATGAATAAATATAAGACCTTTCCCAAGGGCACAGCGTCGGGGCATGTCAGGGATTCTAAACTCAGTACTTTTGGGTTCAGGGACAAACATGCACCTTAACCATTACGCCACACGACGCCATATCTAAGGATCTAATTGTCATAGAGATGGACCAGCAGCAAATCTTGCATTTAGCATCATTTATGTGTATACACGTATGATTCGTACGGAATATCCAAACTATATTGTGAAGTAAACATTCTGTAGACATTTCTCTTAGTTTCATACTAGTAATTCAAGTATTGCCTACAAGGCAATATGAGCTCTTGTTCTTCTAAAAAGACATGTTTTACGGTACAGCACCTGATACTGGTAAAGTGTACTACATATCATCAACTGAATTGGCAAGATATCACAAGGCATAGTGTTCTACGTATACGTATGTAGATGACTGTTTTGGGATGACCATTCCCAACAAAGTGTACTTAAAAAGGCAAAACGCTTTTCCACAGAGTTGTCAACTGTTCATTGTGCCACAGCGTGATATTGATATTGTGCAACACTGTAATATTACTGTAGAGTTTAACGATATGAATGATTTGAAGTTGATGTGTAAGATCTTGAAAAATGCATGATAGTTTCATGTCAACATTTATGTTGACGATCATATATTCTCATGAAATTATCTGTTAAGTGTCTGCATTATCTGAGATGACAGCTCATGTACAACTAGTATTGACACCACCATAGACGTTTGTTAAGGTTGGAGAGTCTTAATAAATTATTTAAGTGTTGTAACCGCTCAGTTTCTGACCGTTCTATGGCGTTGTGGATTGTACGTTTGAAGTTGTGACGAATGGGTGTTACAATAGCTGAGATGGCGTCCCTCTCTGAAACTTAAAATCTATTTGTCTTTATTTTTGGGTACCATCTATAAATAGCTAGAACCAGCCTACGTTACAAAACAAGCATCCCTTTTCCGGACGTCACTGACATATCACATTATTACCTTATAGATATCAGTAAGCCATGGGTCAGAGTTGATTCAACTTACTACATGAAAAGAATTGAAAATCCAGTTTTCTCGCCGTGAAATTGCGCAATGACTTGGAATGCCGAGATCGGCTTCATCTCCGGATGCCTTCGGTACCAGCTAGCCTCCTGTACAGGCCCCGCGGCGGTGGGGCCCGTGGGCGGAATGGAACCTTCTCTCGGCGGCTATGTAGGATGGCCGGCTATATTAAAATAACGCGTTAAAAACTCCCCACCGCCGCGGGGCCTGCACAGGAGGCTAGGTACCAACTCGCTCTTCGGCGTGACTTGCGTCATGATCGCTCACACTTCGGCATTAAATATTGTTCGCATTTCGACAGGCGAGAAGCGACAGGAAAGACGGTGACTGCGAGGCCTTTCGCCTGTGGGTAAAGCTGTAACATTAGGACGACAGAAAAAGGAACTATGGTCTTTACAACGTTAAGTTGAATCAACTCCACTCAGCTGCAAATAAAGAACACCCCTTAGGCGTCTGTCCTTCATACCTTCTGTGTCAAGTACCATTCGGGAAATGGAGGTGCCAAAATATGACAACTGAAAACCTGCCAGTCATGAATGTTTACACTCTGGTGGTGGGGTCAGCTGATATATTAATTAAGCGGAGATAATAGCTAGACCGGTTCGCACCGGTTTTTATGTAGGGCGCAGTAGGGTAAGACCCCAGTGGGGTGTCTTGAGAGAAGCCGCTCAAGACACCTCGTCACTCGTGCAGCCCACCTGCACAGCATCGATGAAAAATGGAGTACGACGCCGCGTTGGAGCATCTCGGTCGCTGCGGCCGCTTCCAGAAAATCACCACCATCGCCATGGCTCTAGTCGGCATCCCGGCCGGCTTCAACATGGTGGCGATGACTTTCCTGGGAGCTATGACCGACCACCGCTGCCGCCTGCACGAAAACAGCCGGGCGGACTATGCAGGGAATGCTACCGAAGAACTGAACGCCAGTATACCCTGGGAGAATGTCGGGGGCACCTGGAGGCTGAGCCAATGCAATATGTACGTGGATCCTTTAGGAGCTGAAGTCGGGGAAAACGCCACCATAGCGCCTTGCGAGTATGGATGGGTGTACGACCGCAGCCAGTATAGCAGCAGCATCGTTACTGAGGTACAGTATTTAAGTATACTAGAGTCAATTCCAAGTCACCGCACGGGTTTTTTAATCATATTTCAAATATTTCTACAGTATTGACATAATTCTGACAAAAATGGAACTGGCAAAACAGACAGCGTATGACTTGGCAAGTTTAAAATACAATGTGAGGTCCATACTAAATAGGTAACATGAAAAAATAGATATGACTTGGGTTTGACTTTTGCGAGCTGACATATAAGTTTTTAAAACGCCTTTGTTGTCAAGTCACTTTCACCTGAGCAGGCCGCTCCATTTGTTCGCCGCCTATTCGCCATCTATAACCCTGAGGGCCGGTGACCTACTTGCAAGGGGTTGCGCAAAGGGCAGAAAACTTTTGCATTCTCCTAAGGCCATGTTGATTTCATTATATGGATGACATCCTCCGGGAGCCCCAAAACTGATGCGCGCGTGCGAATAAAAAAAAAGTTTTGCAAAAAAAAAAGTTGTTTTCATTATGAAATCTACGTGGTCATGAGGGTTGAACAAATGGGACAGAATATGGTTTGGCGAATAATCTAATCTTCAAGTTCATTTCCTTACAATTTCGTCTTTTTCGTTTGATTTTGGCATTCTGCGACATTGGTATAGTTTCTACTTATTTTTTTGTAACTTACGGTATATTTTTGCTCATTTTGCAACTGTTTTGTACGATTTACAGTATGGTTGAAACCTTTTTTTTTTTTTTGGAAACGGCCGAAAATTCATGCTCGCGCGGATGTCATCCATATAATCAAATCAACATGGCCTAATGTTTACAGGGGAAAAGATCCTCTGTCTGCTTTAGCGATAACTAGTTATGTTTACCGAAGGAAAACATACGCGTATTGTTTTTGCTCAGTTCCGTCCAAACACAAAAGGTCATTGACTTGGGTCAGACAGACACAGTCTATTACCATGGCAACTAGTGTTGTGTTACATCATGTTGCAATTCTATAGCGGGGGAGGGGTTAGACTTCTGTATATATATAT